GGCTCTCAGGTCTCCCTGGAGCCTTCTCTTCTCCAGGGGAAAATTCCCAGCTCTCCCAGCCTGGCTCCAGCCCTGACACCAGGATTGGGGCTCAGCTGGGAGGTCTGGAATACAAAGGAGCAGGAGAGGATAGGCAGGACAAAGCCAGTTAAAATTCCAGGAACACATTTAAAAGTGATTATTAATTAAGGCAGCTTTAATAAAAAGCCTGGAATTGATTACTCCCATTATCCATGGGGGGGTATTGATCCCTCTCCTGGTTCCCTTTCCCTCGCTGTGCCCAGGGGGAAGGTGGACACAGGGAGTGGCCAGCAGAGATGCCACATTCCCTCTGGATTATCTGGATGCATTATCTGGATGCTCTTCCCAACACACCCCACTCCGCCACTGCACCCAAAACTTCCCGTTTTTATCTCACCCCTGGTTTGTTCCTGCTCATTCTGAATCCTGAGCCGTCAACACAGAGATTAAACAGAGATAAAAGAGGGTCCCAGGGTGTGCCAGATGCTGGGACGGCCCCCTGAGAGCTGCAGCTCAACCACCAGGTGTCTGTGGCACATCATGAAGCGACACCAGCACACCAGGGACACCAAAACCTGCCCCTACCCAGGCAAGAACCAGCAAAGCTCTGAAATCACAGCTTGGATGAGACACAGAAAGCTAATTCACATATTTATCCTAAATATACGATGGGCATTAAATGGTTTGGGGACTTAACAGGCTGAGTTCGGGTCTCTGCCACCACAATGAACTGCAACAAAATTTACTGAGATAATTGGTGACCTAAGGCAGGAACTAATGAACTGAAGGGCATCCCAATACATTCCTGGATCGTGGAGTAAAGCACTTTAACTTATTAGAGCTGCCTGACCTCATCCCATCAAATCTTCCTGTGGCACAGTCCACCTGTGGGTTTAACATCAATTATAGCCAGGGAAGAGTCTCTGAACTGTTCCTAAAGGAAGTGGGAAGGGAAGGAGGTGCTTTGGGGTCACCCTGTGCAGGGCCAGGGGTTGGACTCCATGGTCCCTGTGGGTCCCTTCCAACTCAGGATGTTCTGTGGTGCCCATGGATAAAGTGCTGCTTTGATTCTCCATTTGGCCAACAGGTTAAAGATGAATATTAAAAAATAGAGTTAATCATCTGAGATAACTTCAGAGTTTATAATAATAGGATTTTCTAAAAGTTGAGTCCTCCAGGCTTTCTTGTATGTTCTGTGACACCCCCCCCGCCGCCCATGACTCAAAATCACAGAATCATGGAATGGTTTGGGTTGGAAGGGAATTTAAAACTCATCCAGTTCCACCCCCTGCCATGGGCAGGGACACCTTTCACTGTTCCAGGATGCTCCAGCCTGGCCTTGGACACTCCCAGGGCTGGGGCAGCCACAGCTTCTCTGGGCACCCTGTGCCAGGGCCTGCCCAGCTTTTCTTTTTAAAATATTTTAAGTAAATTTACTTATCTGGTATGAAACAATAGCAGAAGAGATCCTTTAAAACTGCCTGCTAAGTTGTGTTAATTTAATTAAATCCATCAAATGTACTGTTTTAAAAGCTCACTGAAGCCACACCAACACCTTCTCTCACTTGCAGAAAGCGCAGCTTTCCTGCTCTGAGTTCAATCCTGTTAATCCACATGTTCCAACACGGCATTTCCTGCAAGAATCATCTTATGCTCCAGCCCTGGAAGTGTCCAAGGCCAGGTTGGAGCGACCTGGGCTAGTGGAAGGCGTCCCTGCCCGTGGCAAGGGGGTGGCACTGGATGGGCTTTAACGTCCCTCCAGCCCAGCCTGGAATTCTGTGATCCTTCAGAGCTGAGGAGTTTGCTGAAGGAAGTCCCCACAGCACCACGTTTAGCTGAGTAAAACCTGGGGATCCCCCCCAGGGCTGGGCTGTATTCCCTGGCTCAGGGCCAGCTGTGTCCCAGCTCATCCCCTCCCTCCCTCCCTGCCCATGTGGCTCCTCTGCCAAGCCCATCCCAAGGGCTATTTTTCCTCAGCGTGTGCCACACAACTCGTTCCATCCAAATGGAACAAATTAAAGTGTCTCCACACATCTCCCCTCCCATTTGTAGCCCTGGCTCCTCTCCCCAGCACGTGGCCCGAGGCAGAGCATCATCAGCAGCAGCGAGCAGGGGCCGACCTGGGGATGTGGGATCGTGGCGCGGACTGAACCGCCGGCAGACACTTCATCATCACCCCCCCTCCCCTCCTCCTCTGCAGGCAAAAATCAACTGCAAATTTGCCCTGATGAAAAATCAATAACCCAGTAATTGCTTGGCTTATCGTTGAGCGGGGTGGGAAGGGCAGGGCAGGGGACACAAACCGGGGAGCGATTCCAGGGACTTTCGGGATCGCTGAAGCCCGAAAAGGGAAAGGTCTCCGAGTGATAATTAAATCTCCTCGTGCTGATTTGCTGCCAAATTTATTTCCCCAGAGCCTATCAGAATGTGGCAGGGCCTACAGGGGAGGCAGAACTAATCAATTCAACCCCGGGCCGGCACGGGAATGGGGAATGCAAATTCCAGGGAAGAGGCACCGGGATAACCCCCCCAACCTGGCACTCACCTCGGGCCTGACTGCCACAGAATCCCACCTGGCACTGCTTGTTTCCTGGGAAAACTCCTTCTCCTTGTTTTCTGGTGCATCTCCCTCATGTTTTCCAAAACTGGAATTTTGACTAAAACTGGAATTTGAAATCTGTATTGGACACAAACTCACCTACAACTGGAATTTGAAATCCATATTGGACACAAACCCATCTACAACTGGAATTTTAAATCCAGATGGGACACAAACCCATCTACAACTGGAATTTTAAATCCAGATGAGACTCACTTTGGATTTTTCCATCCTGGCTCTTGGTGGGCTTTACTTCAATTTTTCCATCACCCACTTGGAATCTGCCTGGAGTGAGAATCCAGTTTGGTGGGTAAATCCCCTCTAGATTCTGATGTTTTCCGGGCACTCCCAACCCAAGGCACCAAAACCCAAGCAGGACAATCCAACCCTGGAAAACACTCCTGGAAAAGTGGCATTTTTGGTTAATAGACCTAATTTCATGCAGCAAATTACCATAACCCCAATGGAAGTGCAAATGTAATCAATCTGAAAAATTCAAATGAGGCCCAGGGACCCTTTTTTTTTCTTTCTTTTCTTTTTTTTTTTCCCCCCCCTCAAAAAAAAAAAAAAAAAAAAAAAAAAAGGAAAATAAATCAGCATTTTGCTGCGGGTCCTTCGAGCGGCTGGAGGGGCGTAATTAAAACGTTTAAAGCAGCACAAGCCCCCCCAGTCTCTAATCTGGGCTGGGGTCAGCTGGCTGCAGACTCTAATTTGTCCTCAATTTTTTATTCATGCCAGGGAAACGCTGCATATTTAACAGGAAACCAGCGGGAAGGGGCAGAGCTGGGCTGGGAGGTCAAATAATTTGATTTCCGAGCAGATTACAGGGAACATCCCCCATCTAATCTCAGCCCTGATTTGGCAATAAAGGGACAATAAAAGGAATGTTAAGACACCCTCGTTATGGGGTGAGGGAGAAAACCACTTTTTATGGGTTGGGGATCACCTGCCTGCAACTGGAATTTTAAATCCATAGGGGACACACACCTGCCTACAACTGGAATTTTAAATCCATTTGGGAAACAGACTTCCCTAAAACTGGAGTTTCCCTGGATGTCTTGCATGGGCTTGGGATGCTTAAACACTTCACACACAATTTAATTAGACCTTTTTTTTTTTCCAGTGAAAATGAACTATTTTGCTCCTAATTGGGAACTAATTCCTCAGCAAACTGATGAATTTGAGGGAGGAAGCTTCTCTCCAGGAAACATTCTCTGTTCATTTTAGAACCCTCACAGCTCCTTCAAAGCCACCACAGGACAGTTTTTATGGGGCTTATTAACAAACTGAAAAGAATTCCTCTGGTTTCCCTGTAAATTCCCATTGTTCCCAAGTCCCAAACCGCCCCTTTTCCCTTCCCTCTGTCTCTCCACACTCCCATTTCCCTGCCCCTGCTGGCAGAGCAATCACAGCCACGTGTGTCACTCACGGTGGGATGGGAGGGGAACAACAACCACCTTCCTTTCCGAGTATTCCCTGCAAATCCGTGCCCCTTGGGAGCCAAACACCTCATCCTGCCAGCCAGAGCCTGGCTCCAAGATTCCTGCAGCTGGAGGCTCCCCATGGGCCCAGCACAGCTGGATGGCTCCAAAAATCCAGGAATTACAGTGGGGAGGGAGCACAGCTCTTTTTCCAGCCAGAATTCCAAGTGCCCCTTCCCCTTTCTTCCCAAGGCACCTCTGGGATATCCCACTTTCCACCTGACTACCCTAAGTACCTTCCCCAAGTAGGATCAACTTTGAGCACCAATTAATCCCTCTCAGCATCCCCCAGTCCCAAAGTACAAACTCCTGAGTGATCAGAACGTTTTGATTTGGAATGAAACTCATGGCAGTTGTGGATTCAGAGAGGGAATTTCCTTGAGTTACCTCTTGTGGGTAAATCATGGAATTACAGAATAGTTTGGGTTGGAAGGGACCTTAAAAAGCTCATCCAGTGCCACCCCCTGCCATGGGCAGGGACACCTTCCACTGTCACAGGTTGCTCCAACCTGGCCTGGGACACTCCCAGGGATCCAGGGGCAGCCACAGCTTCTCTGGGATTTCTGTCCCAGCTCAACTGAGGAGCTTGGAGGCTCCTGGGATGGCTCCCTTGTTTCCCTATTGGAAACATCTCTTCCCATCACTCCCTGCCAGACAGTGAAAATCCATCTGGTTTAGTCATTCCACCTGCTGTATTCCAAAGGGAACAGCTCTGATCCCACCAGCTTTCGTGGAGAAGCAGGTGAACTCATGCTGTGACATCACACAGACCAACCACACAAATCACCAGGCAGCTGTAGGGAAATCCCACCCTCCCCCTGGAGCTTGGACCCCTAAAAACAATCAGCTCGGACTTGCTGGGCTTCAGTTTGTTCCTGGACTGCAGAAGAATTCCTTACCTTCCTCCTTTCTCCTCTTGGCTTCTTCTTCACTTCTCTCCTTAGCCTTCAGGGCTTCGTCTGCTTTAGCTAGAGAGAAAAGAGAAACCACAGAAATGTTACAACTGGTGGATTTATCTTATAAAATCAGAGAATCACAGAGCGGGTTGGGTTGAAAGGACCTCAGAACTCCTCCAGTGCCACCCCCACCAGCCCAGGCAGCTCCAAACCCCGTCCAGCCTGGCCTGGGACACTCCCAGGGCTGGGCTGCCCACAACCTGTCCCCAAACAACATTTCCTGGGGATTAAACCCAATGTCAGGTTCCTTTTTGGAGGTCCCCCAAGGCAATCCACGTGCATGAGAGAACAAGGACTTTGTCCTTCACCGTATTTTATTTAAAGATTGTACTCCAGGTAAGGAGCAGCATAACTGGGGCTGTGGAGGGCAATATTATGGTTGCAAATGAGTTAAATACAAATCCCTGCCATCATTTTTGTTCAGTGAAACTTTTAAAGAGGCTTTTTTTGCTCCAAACACAGAGCTGCCCACTCCAGTTGCCCAGCTTTGCTGCCATAGTGAGTAATCCAGAGACCTATCCCAGGGATAAAGCAGAGAGCAAACAATATTTTCAGGGATGCAGAGCTGCATTTAGGAGAGGAGTCCAACCCCTCTCACTCAGGAACTTTATTAGGCAGAACACAATTTTCTCTTCACTCTAAATCACAGCAGTGCTCCTTCACTCGTGTTACAATAATATTGCTTAAAAAGAACCTTTTTCCCTCTAGAAACCTCTTCCCTTATTACTTAATTATCTACTAGTTGCTCAACTGCAGGGGTTTTCAAACACTTTACTACAGATGTTGAAGAAGATTAAAAATATACAGCACAGTAACAAGGGACTATCAATATACTCTGTAAATTAATTAAATTTCTGTTCTAGCACATCATTTATTCCAAAGCATTAATGTCTCAAAGGAGCCATTCTCTTTTATTGCCATCTCACTGCCTGATGAGTGAACTAAGTGAGAATAAGTCTCTAATAACATTATACTTGATGAAATATTAAGTTTTCAAAAGTATCACCAGGCCAAAAGAACCAAAAAGAAACGGGAATTCAGGGTTTAAACCAGGCCATAAAATCACTGCAAACTGTGGCACAAAGGGCAAAAGCTTAGTCAGTTTTGCAAAGATTTAGTCCCACCACCTGCTGAATCAAGCAACCACTTCTAGAAATCAAATTCAGAGCAGGAGGGAGGTGAAGGGACCATTCCAACCTTTTTTCAGTCAGTGGCTACACCTTAAACAAGAAGAACAGGGGGTTACAAATGACAGAATTACACAGACTTCTGGTTCCACTTCCACACTTTTTATGCATATTTGGACAACATTTCAAGCCCTGCAATATTAAAACTTCCCTGCCACTGAGGATCACCACAAGAATCTATTAAATCAGATAATCAAACCAAACCACGGCTACCTCGAAAGACTTTTACTTCATTTACACTTTATTCTCCTCGGTAAAAGGACAGGGATAATAGAAATTCCATTTAAATTCAATTTGGGCGATGTGTGTAATTGTAGCTGGACCCCTCGAGTCATGTAAAATGCTCAGCTTATGTTTCCCTCAAATTATCCCGCTCCGGTTCCCATCCTGCCCCTTACAACCACCTCCAATGTGTATTAGCAGAGCTCATTAGGCTGGAATTTAATAATGCAAACATCAGGTGGGTTTCAGGCCCCTCCATTAGCACACAAGATGGATTGCTCCCATCGCTCGTGGGCCAACTGGGCACGATGGAGATTCAATAAATTCCTCAACCCAAATTGCATTTGTCTCTCCCCTGTTCCACCGAGTTCCTGCTTCCCAGGGACGATTCACGGGGCACCTCCTGCTTGGCCAGGCAAAGAGAGACTAAAACACACCTGGAAGGTGCTGCTGGTCAGTGAATCCATCTGTGCCTTGTATTTGGGAACTTGAAATCGCTGCATTCCGACCTTTGGGGCTCCAGGGAACCTTTGGAAGCTCCAGGGAACCTTTGGAAGCTCCAGGGAACCTTTGGAAGCTCCAGGGAGAACTTCTGCTGCTGAAGCAGAGCTTTGGCCCTCCCCAGTCCTGGTTAATCAATTCAGGAAGTATAAGGAGGACAATTCTCTACACAGAACTGCTAATTAACAACAAATTAATTGCTCCCATCCCATAAATCCCCAGAGCAGTTGGTCCCTGAGGGTACAGGGCACCGTCCACTGCCACCAACAGAGGCCCTGAGACCATGTGTTGCTGGAGGGATTTAATGATGAAGATTCCCCTGAAATATCTTAAATTTTCAGTCATTATTGTTCAGAACTCCAGAATGGGGCACAGTGGAAGGACTCACAGTTCTTCTTCTTCTTTTTTCCTTCTCCTTCTTCTTCTTTTTTTTCTTCTTCTTCTATTCTTGGTTTCTTCCTCTTTTCTTCTTCTTCTTTATTTTTATTATTCTTTATTACGATGATGATGCCAGTGAATATATTGTTGTTGATATTATTATTATTATTAATATGCCAATGAACATATTTTTATTCACAGACAAAGTGCCATTAAAAGCTGAGATTTATGTTGATCAAATTGAGCTGTGATCAAACAACACCCAAAGATCTTTACAACTTGGGAGGTTGGACTTGAAGGTTCAACTAGAGCCAGAGAGGAGCATTTTCCCCAGGCTTTCACCAGCAACTGCTCATCTGTAAATAGCCACAGGCTTCAGCTGTGTCCATGGGCTTGGAAATGGGAAAAGCCATGGATGGGTGGATGGATGGGTGGGTGGACATTCAATCCTGACCAGCCTCACTCTGTGCTGAGGTAAAACAGTTGCAGGACAAGCTGCTAATTAAAAGAAATCAGAGGAATATGAATTATTCCCAGGCAGAAACAGGGCAGGGGCTGTCTGGGGGTGGAAAGCACAGCAGAGCTCATGGAGGAGCCCCTGCAGCACAGCCCCCTCCCAGCACCACGGGAGAAGCAGGGAAGGTGCACGGAAAAGGCTCAGCCCCACACCAAGAAATCATTTACTGTCAAAATTCAAACGAGAGGAGTGTCAGAACACCCACCAACTGCAAACCACAAGGCGTTCGGGGGAACAAATTAATTCAACTTAATTGTGGACTTGCCAGCTCTTCAAAGTTGAAAACACAAGATGTGTTTGGGGAAAAGAAAGCACTGAAACTCAAAAAACACACAGGGACTTCCCATCTAAACACGCAGCCAAACCATCCACGATGCTCATCAGAAAGACTTCACCCTCTTTTTTAAACACAAACATTTTTGCACTTATAAAATATTCAGTCAGCTCACATAGAAAAATACAAGTAGAACCCATTATTAATTTACAAGGCCCTGTTTAATTTACATGCTATTTTTCTCTGGTATATTAAATTTATCAAGGCTGGTGGAGATCCTCCCTGCTGAATATTCATGGGCTTACGTGGAAAATTATCTCTTCTACATCCAACAGATTCCAACACAAACTCCAAACTGCCCCTTGCTCCGAGACTTCCCTCGACAGGAACACCAGGAGCACAGTCCAGTCCCTGTCAGTTCCCAGGGAGAAGTGACACCACCAGGCACATTTTAATCGTCCCAATTCATGCTGGTTTTCTGTATTTTTGTCCTCTCAGTCCATGTCATGAGAACATTGCCTCACAAATTTAAGCAGCACATTCTTAGAGGTCTTCCCATCTTAGAGGGCTTTTCCAACCTAAATGAGTATGGGATTCCATGATTCTATAAATCCATGATTCTATGATTCCATGATTCCATAAATCCATGATTCTATGATTCCATGATTCTATAATTCCATGAATCCACGACTCAGGTGGCCACTCGCCCAGTCCACCCGTGAACATGGAACCTCTCACTGCCATTTATCCCTGTCCTCCCTAATGATGTTGTGATTCCCAAACACCAGAAGTTCCTGCCATTGCTGTCCCCACTACGTGGTTTAATTTAATTACACCAGACTCTAATTACAGATCCTGAACACGAGGCTGGATCCAGAGCTCACAGCCAGGCACACTTAAAAATTCCCTTTAAGCCCAAATCTGTTTGCAGGGAGATGTTATCCCACCGATTCTTCCTGGTGTAGGGATGTTATTTCTCACCCCTCACAGCCAGACAGGTTTTCCAGAGTATTAAATGTATTTTTGGTAGAAGACACATCTAGTGTCATGTGACTTGACTAAAAAAAAACCCAAAGCAAACCCCCAAAGTTTTCTTAGTCTTGCCCTAACATATAACCAAGATATTTGATATATTGGGTATAACCAAAGTATTTGACATATTTGGTATAACCAAGATATTTGTGATGATTTTTCATGCCAACCAGGCAATTTCTCACTAGTTTCTTTAATTTCTGGGATGCAGCTTGTGGAAATCCTGCTGGACAGAAACGGCCCAGGGCCAGGAGAAAGCAGAGCACGAAGGACACCCCATAAACCTGCCCACCACAAAACAGCTCAAGTTACTCCCAAGCCCAAAACGGGTTAAATATTAAACAAAACTTCCCCAGAGAGAGGGAGGCACGTCCATCCCTGGCCAGAACATTAAGATGCTGGTCAGAAATCCGGGAGGGAAAGGAGGCTGGGCAGGGCCAGGGGGATGTTGGGAAGGGCGAGGGAAGAGCTGACAGATTGGATCCCTCCCCGCAGACCGCCCGGATCCCGGGGCCTGCCTGCTGGATTAAGACTGCCCTACTCGTCACTTAATGCTTATTTTCATCACTTCCCTTAAAATATTGATAATCAATTAGGGCTACGTCTGTTTTGCCACAGAATCTGTGTCACAGTCTATCAGACTGTCAGGGCCAATTCGCTCCTCATTCAAAGTTAATTTTTGCTTCATAAATCTGCCTTTGGAGGAGTCATTAGGCGCCGAACATCGCCCGAGGTGCAATCACCTATTCTCTTTCATTAGAGGCAGGCAGGGAAGGTGAGGGAGATTATTAGAACTTTGGAATGATCACAAAGCAGCGTGCTGCCTGTCACATCCCCCCAACGCTTCATTCATCTCGCCAACTCGCTGCCAACGCTTAAAATGGACATTATTCATGACCAT